GCGGCATACTCCCCCCGTCATCGAGAGTCGAGTTGGACGCAAAGAAAGAGCCTAGAAGATCGGCTTTCTCCTTTGCGGTATGGGCCAGTGAGTCCTCCCTGTGCAGAGATGGAAGAGATGGCTGACAGAAATTCCCCTGGACAGCCTTAGCGAGAAACCAGAATGCACGGGTTCCAGAAGGAAGGCGAACTAGTTTCTCGCCAATTCTGCCTATGTGCTCTGACTTTGGCTTGGCAATGACTCTTTTGAATGACCTAGAGGCAGAATTATACTTCTTTTTTGAGCGCTGGTGTTTACATCCCGGGACGCTGATGCGTCAGCCCAGATTTGGTAGCACTCCTGCTTATAGCATGATGCTATTTTACAGGAGCGACCAAACCATGGCTGAGATTTACCTCCAATGGGCATCACAGAGGAAGGAATAAAAAGTTCCATACCCTGAAGTACCACATCAGCGACAGAATCCGCAACAACGTTGGGATCGTCCGGCAAGAAGCAAACCCGCCACCAAGGGTAGGATGCAATGAAAGACCGCATCCCATCCCAATCGGCTGACCTATAGTGCCAAACACGGCGACAGCCTGCAAAATGCAACTGCGATTTCAGCGTGAGTTTCACACTCCGGACAAGACAATGGCCCGAGGAGATTAAAGGGGCGTCGACGGAATTCTGATATCCGTCCAGGTGAGAGGTCAGCAGAAACTCCAAAAGGGAAGGTGCATGATCCTCCACATCTGGAATCCGCGTAGGCGAAGTAACCAGTTGTGTCTGACCATATGCCAAGGCAAAATCATGAACAGATCTCCCCGTATGATCGGTTAAACGTAAACCAAGCCATTCTGCATGATGGGCGTTAAAGTCGCTGAGGATCATGATCTCTGCGGAGGGAATCTGCTGTAGCAACGAATATGTAGCCATTTGGATGCGGTCAAAGAGTCGGTCTGTTTCGGCATTACCGCTATGGGACCTATAGACACAGACACAGCGACGACCATCCGCGCGTTTACGGGTGCCCCGTAGACGCGCGGATGGTCGTTGCTGTCTACGCGTAGCCAAAGGATGGACAGGTCCGAACCTTCAAGTCTGCCGAGGCGTCTAGAACAGATGTCCTCTCTGACGTAAACGCAAACTCCAGCCCGAGGCACAAAGGAGTGTTCCAGTTTGTACCCCGGGTAGGAGAGATACGAGACATCAGCCGGGGAGGACACCTGCGTCTCGGCCAGAAAGAGCAGAGCCGGCCTCGCCATCTCAAGATGATAGTGGACGGCGTTTAGGTTAGAGTGAAGTCCCCTGATATTGCAGAAATTCACGGACAGCGTGGCAGGGGTCGCCTTGGTCTTGTTGCTCCGTTTGCCCCGAGCAGTAGTAGTCTTGAGCGGAATTTTGCCCCCCCCCCCCATAATGAGCGGAGCAGCCTGAGCACCTACCCTCAGAATTGGAGAAATATGGTCGTGCATGCTCAGCGAGGGATTCTCCAGGGGTGCTGCTACCCTCCTGGGGTAGTCTATCATCATTTAATTACGCTACCTTGTTGATGGGGGGGATTTGGGCCTCCGACCACCTGCACTCACCAGACGAAACGCGGAAGCAGAGCTTCCACTTCACGCTGGTATTCTGTGAGGTCGTGATACCACCCCTGTTTGAGCCTGCTCATACGTGCAACAGCAAAGCTGCCGCGTGGCTCTACCACTGTGTGCCCATGTCACAAAGGATGATTGGGCAAAAGTGGTAGAAAAACGAAAAAATTAGTATGGGTGACTTTGAAAGAGACATTAATTTTGACTGCATTATTGAAAATCAAATAATAATTAATCTAAACAACGACAGCTCAGCTAGTTGTACTGAAATTGGTTGAAAAAAATTATTTTTAATCTAGTTTCAATCTTAATTTTTTATAACTAGGCGTCTAGAAATAAGCAGTAACAAAAAGTACGAAGAAACTGATAAATCTTGTGATTTAATTATCCGTTTTTATTTATTCTGGTATTTTTCAAACCAAACTGTAAATTATTACCAGCTCTAAATAATAGATATCGATTTTTTTAAGAATCGAATATTGTACGTTCCCATTTTTTGATTGACATGCTTGGTGCAATAAGTCTGACAGCTGTCAAAATGTATTTCTTAGATTTTTTTGTCATCATCATCATCATCATTACAGTCCTTCACAAGTTCACTGCTGAACATAGGCCTCCCCCAAGTAACGCCACAAAGCACGGTCCTGAGCCACCTGCATCCATCGACTTCCTGCATGTCTTACCAGGTCGTCACTCCATCTAGTGGGGGGTCGCCCTACACTACGCCTATCGGTACGAGGCTGCCACTCGAGAACCTTTCTTCCCCATCGGTTATCGGTTCTTCGAGCTATATGGCCGGCCCATTGCCACTTCAGCTTACTAATCCATTGGGCTATGTCGGTCACTCTGGTTTTACTGCGGATATCCTCATTTCTGAATCTATCACGCAGAGAAACTCCGAGCATAGCCCTCTCCATAGCTCACTGAGCGACCTTGAGCGTCCTCATACGGCCAGCAGTGAAGGACCACGTCTCAGATCCGTAAGTCATCACTGATTTTTTTTGGAAAGGAAGTTATTTTACGGCTTACTGTATTTCGTATTTCGTTACATTCATTTTTTCTGAAATATTGATTTTTATGGATGAGCAGTTATTCACCTGTTTGTATTTCAATATAGTTTCGTAGATGTAGGTATTCAGAAAATGCGATGATACTAAAGGTAACATACGGAACTACCATAAAAAATTAACGCACCACATCATAAGAAATAAAACTAAAGCAGAAGACGAGTTTCATATATTACATGTGGGATATCATGAAAGGGTTCATAGTTTCGATAAGATCTATTTGCCTATCGTGGTAACTTTGGTATCCCGTGAGCGGTTATTTTCAGAGGCTCGATCTACAATCACCCAGGTGTCCTCTCCTGGGTGATACTTACTAGGCACCAGGTTGTCAAAATTATTGATTTAAAATTCAATTCGAAAGAAATAAATGTAAAAGTAAAAAAAATGTTTAATTAATTCTTGTTTTCTGACAATTATTCGATAAAATTAAATGTGTAAAAATAAATAGTGTAAAACTTCCTAAAATAACATAAATATAATGTTTGATTATTATACTTCGTTCTTTCAGGCTTCAATCACAAAACCGCTATTTATAAAAAGTTTTTGATTTTCAGAGTTATTAAATGAACTATCTGGAAAATATTTAATAAATTAGGAAAACAAAAAAGTTTTATACTATATAATTGTTTAACACAGTGAACTTTAAGCAGACAGCTGCTTAAAAACAAAACGTGACATACACCTAGGGCTAAGTATTCCCCAGAAGGATGTTTTGCTTTAACTTTACATTACTATTCACCGAAAGCTTAACAATATGTGCGAAATATCAAATGTTTTGAAATTGGTCTGCCTTCATCACATACTATAACAAAGTGGTACAGTACAATTTATGGCCGACTTGGCTACACCAAAAAGAAGCGTTAACTGTTTTAAAACTTAGACTAGAGAGTAACCCTAACAAGAAATTATATTGTATATTAGTGATAGATGAAATGAAAATAAAACAATTGACGGAGTACCATGCAAGTTCTAAAAGACGTTTTGGTTATATACATAATGGCTTTGTCTACTAGCATGGTATTCTGTCAATTGGTTAATTTTTATTTCATCCATTACCAAGGTACAATAAAAAAATTATCAGGGTTACTCTCCGCTCTCAATTTTATTGCCGTCAGCGCTTCTTGAGTAAACCCTGGTCGGCGATCGATGGTAGTGTACCACTTAGTCAATGTACGTGGTGCAGGCAAACATGTTCTAAAACTTTTACGTACATAGCGATAGGCTTTTGGTGAGTAATAGTTAAGTGTTAGGGCATAGTATTTCTTGCAAACTTGTGAAGCCTGTTTATGCTATTGTTTCTTATGTCAAGGCATTTTTTCATTTTTTCCTTGGCCTAAGTGTTGGCTTGTACTCGCAGTGGGAGTAGGACTAGTTCAGGCCATATATGTTTTTTTTTTCGAATTGTGACTTTCGAGATAACTTATGGAATTTTTCCGGAACATCCAGCTTTCTTTTTTCGATGTAGACGATATTGTGCAATCACCACGATCAACCTAAAATAAATAAAGTATATAAAGTAATAAATAATATATATTTATATTATTTATTACTTTATATACTTTATTTATACATATGATAAAGATATTTATTTTGTAAAACATGACTAAATAAAATACATGTGTTAAAAAACTTAAAACGAGCTACATATTTTGCCATTTATGGCGTACAAAAATTATACTACATTAAGTTTACAATTACCATATTTATATTATAAATATATGAATTAAATTTCATAGGTTAATGCTTTTGTAAACTTAATAAAATATTTTCAAGTAGAATAATATTGGTGTCAAAGGTAATAATAAAAATATTTAATCTAAATAAATATATATATATATATATATATATATATATATATATACATATATATATATATATATATATATATATATATATATGTATGTTAATGCTTTTGTAAACTTAATACAGTGGATCCCCGGTAGTCCGACAAACACTTTGCAGGGCAGTGTCGAACTATCGAATTTGCGGATTATAGAGTACTGCCTAAGACACCCTATAGTCCGATTTTTTTTACAAAAGAGTACCTTGTAATCCGACAAATCACAGATCCTATGATAAGGTTACAAATCATACTTCATTATGTATATCAAATTTAGTAAATTAAACAACACAATAGAAAGATTATAAAATTAACGTCATTAATGCTATAAAATTTACAAAAAAACATGCAATAACTTTACATTAGGAAAGAATTGTGTACAAACAAATGTACATATGTACTAAAATAATCAAACTTTATGAATCAATCAATTTAAGAAGCATGAAAATATTCATCAATTTTTTTTTTGTTTAACATTGTTGAAACGCGAAATTAAAGCTTTGTCCCTCAGTCTTCTCAAAAGTAGAAGTTCGTTGTAGGATGCACCATTTTATTCAGCCCATTGCAAACCCAGCTCAAAGGCGTTAATACTTCTTCTGCTTTCACTTGCGGAGTAGTTGCAATTACTTCGTCGTCATCTTCCTGATTTATTGTTGTATATCTAGAAATCTCTTTTATAATCTCGTCGTCAGACATTTCGTGAAAAATATTTTCCTCTTTATCTATTCCACGGCACCAGGTTTCCAAATTTTCCGGACTTATTTGTGTTTCAGCAGCAATTTGCTCTATTACTTCCGAAGGTACACTGATTTGTGGATCGTTGGTAGGAGTGGCGACTATATCTGGCCATAACTTTTTCTAAGACGATGTAATAGTTGATGTAGGTAATGCATTCCACGATTGACAAAGAGCAAAAACCAAGTCTGTAATATTAAATTCTTTTCACGTTTTTTCTATTGGCTGGTCTTTTGATACGGCTTTCAGAAGTAGGTTTTTCTTATAATCTTTTTTTACAAACTGAATGATATTCTGATCCATGGGTTGAATCAGTGCAGTACAGTTTGGCGGAAGAAACATCGAAGTGGTGCATTTATCGTCAGTTGTCAGTTCTGCTTCAGACGGATGACCGGGAGCGTTATCAAGAAGCAATAACGCTTTTTGAGGTAAATTATGATCTTTCAACCATTTTCTAACTTCTGGTACAAAGCGTTCATCAAACCACTTTTTGAAAAGATCTTTTGTCATCCACGCACTTTTTTGTCCATAACAGTGTACAGGTAAATCAATGTTTTTGAATGCACGTGGTTTATTAGATTTTCCAACGACCACTATCTTTAGCGTGTGTGTACCCGCAGCGTTAGCACATGGTAGTATGGTTACACTTTCTTTACTTACTTTTCGTCCAGATACGGATTTTTCGTCATAGGAAACAAAAGTTTTGTTAGGTAACACACGCCAAAAAAGCCCTGATTCGTCTGCATTGTGCACCCGTGACGGGTTAAGATTTAAATCTTTCACCTTTTGCAAAAATTTCAATTTAAATGGCTCTATGCAGGTGGCATCATTAGAAAGTTTCTCTCCTGTAATAGTCATTAAACGTACGCCATGACGACTTTTGAAACGTTCTAGCCATCCCCTGCTAGCCAAAAAATCATATTTTTTTATTATTTCCTTATAAAAATATTTGGCTTTCATGGCCAACATGGGTCCCGAAATAGGCGCATGCCTATTTCTTTCCTGAAGAAACCACATGTATAAAACTTATACCACCTCTGGATGTTCAGCTTTTTTGAGTGTCTGTCTCTTGCCTGGCCCACAGTCAGTAGTTGACACGAACTGTTTAATCTTCTCGTGGTTTTTTTTAATGTCATAAATTGTAGATCGTTCTACGCCGTATTCACTTGCTAAACTACTGAAAGATTCATTACGATTTAGGCGGTCTAAAATATCACATTTTTCTTTAATTGTCAGTGTTTTGTGCTTTCGTTTCTGAACTTGAGACGACATTATTAGGTACCTATACGCAATACACCATGAATAAATAGTAAACAATGAACACACGCTAGGCCGCACCGCTATTCTCTCTCATGTATGTATGTAGTCAAACTAGGAGTAGTCGTTACAAAACGTAACTAGTTACTGAAACTATCTATTCACACAATAGCGGGTAGCGGGTTATTCCAGTGCAACGAAACTATCTATTATAGTAGACGTTTTACTCAGTAACACGATTCACGTTTCACGAATCACGAACGAGCGATCAGTAACAAAACGTTTATTCGGCTATTTTCGCGACGCATCGGCGACGGCTTCGGCTGTTGAAGTAGAAGCACATGAGTAAAGAAACCGACTCTTTACGCTGGGGTAGAAGTACGCGCGAGTCCGCGCGGGTGCTTTTGCATTAGACCTATGACTCTATTCTTCCTTCTTACGACTCTATTCGCCTTCGTATAGATGCGATATTAGAAATGAGAAAGTAAGTGTGCATGTTTTTAATAAAAATGGTTCAAATTCCATAATTTAAGTGGCCTTGGCCCGGTTTAAATTAGTCTTGTGTTTAAGTTTAAATAAAATAAGCATTGTAATAATTATTTGCTATAAAATCAAACTTATTGTTCGCGACGGCCTAAAAACGTTAAGAAACAAAGTTATAAAGAATATTGTTTTTTGTATTTATAATGAAATTACTGACAAAACGGTGAAAACGTGTATTAATATAGTTGTTTAGCATATTTATAACTCTTAGTATATTTGTATAGAATGTCGTTTTGATAATAAGTGATATAAACAACTTTTATTATATTAAGAAAAATCGACCAATCACAGCGCGTCTTACCGTAGAACTCTCTAGAAGTTTTTTAATTAACTGCGTAATAGTTCATACTAAAAATAATGATAATAATTTTATGTTCTAAAAGAGTTATAAATATGACATTGAATTAGCATATGGCTTATAGATTAAAGAAGTGTAGGAATATTTTGTATAATTAAACGCATTTGATTGTTATTTAAAAATTAAAGAATTAATGTACCCAAATATTATGAAAATTTGGGACATTTCGTTTAATAACTTTTTACAATATTAATGTTTTGAGGAACCTTTGTGATATACTAATAAAATACCAGACTACCGATTTAATGATGTATAGCATGTTAGTGTAGTAATTAGTTTTGTATAGAAAATATTGCAATTTATGCCATTTGTATAGTGAAAAGTTTATGCAATAAAGAGGCAAAACGGAAAATGGCAAGCGGCTCACTGTAAAGTATTGCTAAAGTCTACCTTAGGGTCTCGTCACCCAGTAGGGGTAGTAGTGTGAAGAACTACCAGTGACAAGTGAAGTGAAGTGAGTGGTATCCGGTGGTAGCTGAAGTGACTAGTAGCAGTATATAGTTAATAGTGAAAGTGTTAGCTAGCTTAAAAAGGTCGTAACTGATATTCGCAGTTACATATAGTGAAAGTGTTAGCTAGCCTAAAAAGGTCGTAACTGATATTCGCAGTTACATATAGTGAAAGTGGTAACTGATATCCGCAGTTACACAAGTGATAAAATCAGCTAGTTTAGTTGATAATAGCTGCTAGTCAGTAGTGTTAGAAAACCAGCTACTACCAATAGATATTTGATACCACCGTACAATTTAAAGAAATCTTTTGAAATATACAGTGACCAACCAATAGTGAACAACCGTAGTTCAACCGTGGTCAATAGTTATAAAATTTCGCGACTAATTAATCAGTCGAACCGCTGGCCACTACCTTGCTATTTGTATTTATTAATCGTGCATTTTGATTTGAACCTCAGTCCACAATATTTCAGCGGCAACCACAAAGACGACAGTGAAAGTACCCACCGGAACCTATAGGTGTAGGACGTGAGCGACTCGCGAAGTATCTTCGACAACATTTACTCCGGAGAGTTTCGCCCGTCCGGCACATTCGTTGGTCCTTCGAGCCGGATCAGATCAGATCAGATTCGAGCAGAATTTTTCAGATTCAAGATGCCGATCACCCGTTCGCAAGGAAGGGAAGCCAAGGCGTGGACCGTCGGTCTGGAAGGAGGTTCGTCGGCCAGTAACGCCGCCGTCCACCACCAGATGCCACCACGCTCACCGTCAACGGTAGAGGGCGCTGAGGCGCCATGCTGCCCCCCCCCCCGAGGGGGGATACCCCTGTCCGCGCCGGCCACTACGGCCCGCACAACGAAGCAGAGGGAACATATAGAAGGCAACGATGACTTTAGCCGTGCATCATCGCCACCAGCCCGCGAAGACACGCACACCGAAGAGCCACACCGATTGCAGTACGAAGTCAAAGAAGACTGTTCGGCCCAATAGAAGAATTTTGAAGGCTCGTGAAGAATTATTGAAGATCAAACTAGAACTTGCGCAGATCTCCTTACAGATGGCTGAAGAAGAAGACGAATCAGACGACTATGATGAAGATGATCACACCAAAAGTGAGTACGTTAGATCTTGGCTCGAAAATTCTGTAGCCAAACAAAAGTCAAATCAAGGCGAAACCACTGGAGGGAAGGCCCCATTTAATAAAACCGTCACAAAGCCAACCCCGGACGTTGTCGATCTCAGTGAGCCCCAAAAGGAACTCACGAACCAGGATTCCTATCCAGAAGACGTACAAAAGGATCCCATGCCACAGAAGCTCAGTCAGGAACCTACCGTTAATATCAGAGCTCACGTACCAGGATTCCTATCCAGCAGATGTACCCAAGGATCTCATGCCAAAGAAACCTAGCCAGGAACCCGTCATAAGTGAAGACAGGGGGCTCCGTCCATTTATATCGGAGCTCACATCCGCTATAGCCGCGCTCGCTGACAAATCAAAGTTAGAGAGTGCGCCACTATCGTCGCATACTTTCGCAGCGTCGAAAGCTATAATGACACTGCCAAGCTTTAGCGGAGCACATACCGAGTGGCTTTAATTCCGTGCCATTTACGAAACAACCCGAGGCTACTTCAATGACATTGAAAATACTGCTAGACTAAGACGAAGTCTACAAGGAAGAGCCTTGGAAACAGTCAGTTCAGAACTCATCGGGCATGCTAAGCCAGATGAGATTATGCGAGAACTGGAGCTACAATTTGGGCGTCCAGATTCAATCGCGCAAGCAGAAACCGATAAGTTACGAGGATTAGCACGCTGTACAGAAGCGCCCAGAGACATCTGCACATTCGCGAGTAAAGTGAGGGGAAGCGTCGTCACTCTTCAAGCCCTAAAGCGAGATCATTACCTCGTCAACGCAGAGCTGCTACGACACCTCACCGACAAATTGCCAAACTCTATAGGTGCCCAGTGGTATAGAATCTACACAGAAAAATATGGCTCTAGACCAGACCTCGGCTGCTTCAGCGAATTTATTACCGAGCAAGCTCGCTTCTGCAGTGCATTTGCGCCTCCAGAAATTATAAACGAAGCACAAAGCAATCGTTCAGTACATAGAGCACACGCGGCTACTACTAAGCCGTCCGAAATGCAGAGTGTGCGAAAAGGAAGGTCACTACGGATCCGAATGTAAAAAATTTAAGGAAGCAAATATCAACAAAAGATGGGAACTCGCAAAGCAAAATAATTTATGTTTCCGCTGTTTACGTTGTAGAAATCAGACACACAAATGCAAAACCAATAAGTGTGGAATAGAAGGATGCACCGCGACACACAATCGACTTCTCCATAACAAAACAAAGGAGAAGACTGAGGTCAAACAAAAAGAACCTCAAGAAACCGTAGCTAACTCATTCGCTGTGTCAAAGCATCAAGCCTATTTAAAAATAATTCCAGTGCGAGTAATTGGACCGGCAGGAGTTGTAAACACACACGCCCTGCTGGATGATGGGTAACTGTTTCACTAACGGATGAAGAGATCGCCAAACAAATTGGAGCTACAGGGCGGTTGGACCCGTTTAAGATCACCGCTATCGGGAACACTACCCTCGATTCACCGGAATCCCGAAGAATCAAAGTATCGCTGAAGAGTCTCTTCAGCAAAAGGGTGCCATTCAGAGCATGCACGGTTGCAAGCCTAAACTTGGGGCCACAGACTGTGCGTGCAGCAGACAGAGCCAAGTGCAAGCACTTGAAAGACCTAAAGGAGCAGCTAATATATGACTCTGGCAACCCAAGGATCCTAATAGGACAGGACAATTGGAGACTTCTGATAGCCACTGAAATCCGAAGAGGTCCGCCGCACCAGCCAATTGCCTCGCTCACAGAATTAGGATGGGTGCTACACGGGGCACACACTAAAGCCCCGTATCAGCGTGTCCACGCGGCCAATGAGCTGCACAAGAGCGAGGGGACTATAGATGACCAACTCCGCGAATATTTCGCGCTGGAATCTCTCATCGTCAATCCGAGAACACCAGACTCCGATCCAGAGAAGAAAGCTGAAGATATACTAAATAGCAGCACCCGTCAGTTACAAGACGGGCACATAGAAACAGCGCTTCTCTGGAAGAAAAAGGATATGAATAGCAAAAGACACTGGCGACGCTCCCAGATACTCGCTGACATGTTCTGGCAGCGTTGGGTCCGAGATTATCTACCGGAACTTCAAAACCGGCGGGAGGCCCATGGGCGAGGTCCCAATCTCCAGGTGGGCGATCCAGTCCCCATTGCTGACGGCCAGTTACCTCGTAACATCTAAAAAGGTCGTAACTGATATTCGCAGTTACATATAGTGAAAGTGTTAGCTAGCCTAAAAAGGTCGTAACTGATATTCGCAGTTACATATAGTGAAAGTGGTAACTGATATCCGCAGTTACACAAGTGATAAAATCAGCTAGTTTAGTTGATAATAGCTGCTAGTCAGTAGTGCTAGAAAACCAGCTACTACCAATAGATATTTGATACCACCGTACAATTTAAAGAAATCTTTTGAAATATACAGTGACCAACCAATAGTGAACAACCGTAGTTCAACCGTGATCAATAGTTATAAAATTTCGCGACTAATTAATCAGTCGAACCGCTGGCCACTACCTTGCTATTT